ATGTACAAATGTGCTTGACACAATGTATGTATGTATCGTGATAAGAGCTGTATGAGTCCCCAGTAAAAAGATTAAAAAAAAAAAGTTGTGCCTCCCCAAATCTAACGCGATTATTTCCAGTTGAATGAAGTGTCATTGCAACGCGGGCTTGGTCCTTGGAAAGATTTTTGCCTTCCTTGTGCTGACTCTGCAGCCCTAGAACAGTCCACTCCCCGGAGGGCTTTCTCTTGCTGCTCAGGGAGAACATTTCGTGTGGTGCTTGTAGGAGAAGACAGAACAGGACGGAAGAAGACAGACAAGCGTTTTTCCCAGACACTGGCCAATACTCTGGGTCTTTCCCATCTCTAATGGACAGATGTGCAAAATCAATACATGAAATTTTTAGTAAACACAGTAAAATGCTAAAAGGCACCAAACTTCAAATCTTGCTTTGCCCTAAAGTGACCCTGGAAGCCAATGTTGACACACTTAAAAGAACCCAAAGACTTATAACCACAAGAAAAAAAAAGAAAGAATTATCTTGTTACAGTGTCTAAGCCCCACAACAAACATGAAAATGCATCATGTTTGCTTCTAATTACTCAGGTCAAATCCTCTAAAGTTGACAAGCATAATATATTAATTCATTGGGAAAAATAGGAGAGCCAACCTTACCTGTGTCTAGGTTCTTGAAGGTTTCCATCATCACATCTCTGTAGAGTTTCCTCTGAGAAAAATTCAGCAAAGCCCATTCTTCTTGAGTAAATTCCACAGCCACATCCTCAAAGGCCACTGAGTTCTAAAATATCATAAGATATCATAAATTAATAAGGTTGCATCGTCCCCAATGTGTGCAAAAGAATGGGTGAGGCTGACATCTGGGACGTCAGATGTCACAGGGAACTTACACCAGGTTCTGTGTTGTACTCTACACTTGGACAATCCGCCTCACTCCTTTGTATTCTACCGTTATATCCTGACAGTTGTCATTCTACTTCATAGATTTAACAGTGTTTCTTACACACTGACCTCTTGATTGTGACTCAAGTCAAAAATAAAAAACCCATTTCTATCATTGGATCATCATTTCCTTGTGTAAGAAAATAATTCCCCTCCTATAAAACCCAAAGGAACGCAACAAAACATGAAACACGATGAAAGCAGGATGACTAATAATGGAAAAGCAAGGAATTGGTAGCTTTCCCCTAACGTTTGCATAAACAAAGCAAATATCAGTATCAGACTCAGATATTGCACAAAGATTGTGGAATCATTAGACTGGAAATTTGAAACAACCAAGGTTCATAAGAATGGACATCCAATGGAAAAAGCAGACAGGATGAGCTATAACATGATCAGAAAGGAAACTATGAAATGTCTATAGTAAATAATAAAAATCAAATATACTTTAATACAAATGAAGAATGTCTTCATAATGGGATCAGAAATAGGTTGGATATGGCCACGTGAAATCAGTGAGCTTTAAGAGAAGTCAATAAACCACCTGGATGGAGCCGGGAGCATTATGCTGAATAAAATTCATCAATCACAAAAAGAAAACTATTCTGAGTCCATTGTTATAAACAAGAAAAAGGTGTTCATATCAAAGGAAACAGACATCGATAATTACCAAAGAGGGTAGAGACAGGAAGAGCAGATGAAGCAATAGGCCAGAGGATATACAGCTGTTAACTTGAGTGAAGGGGAAGACAGTCTTCCACACGAGGGAGCCAAGTCATGAAAAGAGGAAGGTAGGGCAAGTTCCCGGGGTGGTGGGGGGTGGGGTGGTGAGTATGAGAGGTAGTTTAAATTGTTGAATACAAACCTGATGTTTCACAATCAAAAAGTATATTAAAAAAGAGAGATAGGTCAATAACCCCCAAAACCTATACTCACTGCCACTGAGTAGATTCTACTCAGAGTGACCCTATACGACAGAGTAGAATGTCCCCTGGGTGTTTCTGAGGCTATACATCTTTACAGGAAGAGAAAGTCTCATTTTTCTCCTTTAAGCTGCTGACCTTCTCAACAGACAAATGCAAAACACACTATGCCACTAAGACAGGTCAAGAAAACCATGCCAAACTGAAATACAAAGAAAGAAAATCAGGCTAGAGAGAAAAAGAGGAGCCACAGAATATCCAAGAACTCTGAGCCCCAAAGTGTCACATCTGCACAGTAATAATACCAGAGGGAGAGAGTAAAGAAAGAAATATTTTCAATAGTAGTGAATTTTACAAAAGTAATGACAGACAACAAACCATAGATCAAGAGGTTCAGAGAGCACCAAGGACACATATAAAACCTTATCCCTAGACAGCCACAGCTAATGTGTCAATTTGTTGTACTGTAGTGGCGTGTGTGTTGTGATGTTGGAAGCTATGTCACTGGAATTTCAAATGCCAGCAGGGTCACCCGCAGTGAACAGGTTTCAGCAGACCTTCCAGACCAAGAACAGATGATGAAGGAACAGGGGCCCACTCTAGAGGAGTAGCTGCTGAAAACCTCATGCATAGCTTCAAAGCATTGCCAGACACTAAAGGCCTAATAAATGGAAGCAGAGCACTGTCTGAGATAATGCTGGGGATGAGCCCCTCCAGTCAGAGGGCACAGGAAATGTGACCAAAGAGGAGCTGCTTTCTTGGAGGGAAGTTGACCATGGTGTCATACGTCAGGGAAAGCATGTGGGAGTGGAACTTTGGGGACCTTTATTTCCCGATGGGGCATGACTCAAGGTAAGGAGAAACAGCCGTAAAAGTCTTCTAATGACCTGCACTTGGAATGTGTGAAGCATATGAATCTAAGAAAATTGGAAGTGGTCAAAAATTAAATGTGATATAAAAAGGTCCATTATCCTAGGCATTTGTGAGCTGAAATAGACCAGTACTGGCCATTTAGAATGAGAAAATCATATGATTTACTCCTCTGCAAATTACACAATCAAAATGAATGGCATTGCATTCACTGTTGAAAAGGATACTGCAATGTGGTGAAGAAAGCTGATGGTGCCCGGCTATCAAAAGATATAGCATCTGGGGTCTTAAAAGCTTGAAGGTAAACAAGCGGCCATCTAGCTAAGAAGCAACAAAGCCCACATGGAACAATATATCAGCCTGTGTGATCATGAGGTGTCGAACGGATCACTGAAGACAAATGGGTACATAAGCAAATGTGGCATAGAAAGCTGATGGTGCCCGGCTATCAAAAAGTATAGCGTCTGGGGTCTTAAAGGCTTGACGGTAATCAAGCGGCCATCAAGCTCAGAAGCAACAAAGCTCACATGGAAGAAGCACACCAGCCTATGCAATCACGAGGTGTCGAAGAGATCAGGTATAAGGCATCATCAGAACAAAAAATCTTACCATAGTGAATGATGGGGGGAGTGTGGACTGGAGACCCAAAGCCCATTAGCAGGCCACTGGAGACCCCCTTGCAGAGGGGTCTCGGGGAGGAGACGAGCCAGTCAGGGGGCGATGTAACAACCATGAAAAATACAACTTTTCTCTAGTCCCTAAATGTTTCCTCCCCGCTCCCACTATCATGATATGAATTCTGCCTTGCAAGCCTGGCTAGACCAGAGGATGTACACTGTACAGATGGGAACTGGAAATACAGGGAGTCCAGGGTGGATGATCCCTACAGGACCAGTGGTGTGATTGGCGATACTGGGAGGGTAAAGGGAGAGTGGGTTGGAAAGAGGGAACTGATTATAGGGAACTATATGTGACTTTCTCTCTGGGGGATGGACAATGGAAAAGTGGGTTAGGGGATACGTCAGACAGGGCAAGATATGAAAAAATAATAATTTATAAATTATCAAGGGCTCATGAGGAAGGGGGGAGCGGGGAGGGAGGGGAAAATGAGGACCTAATGTGGGGGGGGGGCTTAAGTGGAGAGGAAATGTTTTGAGAATGATAAGGGCAATGAATGTACAAATGCGTTTTACACAATTGATGTGTATATGGATTGTGATGAGTTGTATGAGCCCCTAATAAAATGATAAAAAAAAAGATAAAAGATTGCAGCCTTCAGAAGAGATTACAACTCAATATAAAGACCAGAATCCCCACAATTAGATCAATAGGGAACATCATGAGAAATGGAGTAAAGGTGGATGTCGTCAAGGATTTTGTCTTGCTTGGCTCCACCATCAATGCTCATAGAAACAGCAGTTAAGAATGCAAAAGACACTTTGGATTGGGGAAATGTGCTACAGAAGACCTCTTTAGTTGAAAAGCAAGGATGCTACTTTGAGGACTAAGGTGTGCGTTTCCCAAGCCATGATATTCTCGATTGCCTCAAAGGCATGTGAAAGTTGGACTACTGAGTAAGAAAGATTGGTACATTTGAATTGTGGTGCAGAAGAATATTGTAAGTACCAAGGACTGCCAACAAACAAACAAATCTGTCTCAAAAGAAGTACAGCTAGAATGCTTCTTAGAGGCAAGGATGGTGAGACGTCGTCTTTAATACTTCGGACAGGTTGTCAGCAAAGACCAGTCGCTGAAGGAAACTAGAGGGCAGGAGAAAGGGGGAAGGCCCTCAAGGAGATTTACTGACAACAGTGGCTACAACTGTGGGCTCAAGCATAGGAACAACTGTCAGGATGGTACGGGACTGGGCAGATGGACTGAAGAGCAGATGGATTTGGATTACGCTGTTGGCAAAGGATACTGAAAGTACATGGGATTGCCAAATAAATCTGTCTTGGAAGAAGTACTGCCAAAACACTCCTTACAAGCAAGGATGATGAGGCTGTGTCTTGCGAGCTTTGGACATGTTATCAGGAGAGACTAGTCTCTGCAAAAGGACACTGGGTTTTATAAGGTTGCGGGGCAGTGAAAAAGAAGACCCTCGACAAGATGGATTGACACGGCAGCTACACAAATGGGCTTAAACCAAACCATTGTGAACATGGCGCAGGATCAGGCAGGGCTTTGTTCTGTTGCAAAACAACGTTGAGATGTGAACTTTAAATGCACAGACAAACCCAATAGTTTTACTTTAAAAAAAAATACTTCTATCAAATATGCTACAAAACAGCTTGAAAAAGCCCTTAGAAAAACTCCATTTTTTTAAATTCAAAATTTCTACCTACTTTTTGAAGTCACCTAATATTTAATGTGTTTCCTGGGAAATCATAGTCAAAAGTACTACACTATTTAAGATTTCATCAGTTACGTCGAAGTGGTATGAAAAGGTTTCGTATATTTATACAAATCATTAAACTGTAAGTCGGAGTTCTATGTTCAATGGAGTGATCAGGACACTGCATGTCTATTTTATCTCACTCAGGACAATGTTTACTAACAAGAAGATTTAAAATATTAGGAGCTCTGGTGGAGAGAAGGTGGATGGAAAGGGGGAACCAATTACAATGATCTACATATAACCTCCTCCCACAACAGAAAAGTGGGTAAAGGGAGACATCGGCCATTATAAGATACGACAAAATAACAATAATTTATAAATTATCAAGGGTTTATGAGGGAGAGGGGAGCGGGCAGGGTGGGGGAAAAAAACGAGGAGCTGATACCAAGGGCTCAAGCAGAAAGCAAATGTTCTGAGAATTGTGATGGCAACAAACGTACAAATGTGCTTGACACAATGGATGCATGCATGGATTGTGATAAGCGTTGCATGAGCCCGCAATAAAACGATTTTTTAAAAAAGGAGCTCTGCATGTATTATACATAATAAAAGTAGTAAGAGTCTTTATGACCCCTTTCTGGATGAATTTAAATAAACAGAGTAACTTTTACATTAGTTAAAAACAGGATTCCTCTTGTGGTTCAGAAGTTTTAAATTAATGAAATTTTAAAAATTCTCTATAAACATAACAAACTGATTCCAAAATTTACTTCCAGTGGAAAATGTGACCCTGAGAATGTAATTGCACTAATTTCATATCCTGAGATATCATGGTTATGTGTTGGGCTGCGATCCTCAAGGTCGGCAGTTCCAAACCACCAGCTGCTCCTCGGAAGAATGACAGAGCTTTCTACTCCTGTAAACTGTTACAGTTTGGGAAATTCACAAGTGCAGTTTTATCCTGTTCTATTTGGTCTCTGAGTCAGCATTAACTCTATAGCAGTGAATTTGCTTTTGTTTTTAAGTGCTTTAGTAAATAGCCATATATTGTATTCCAAGAACCTACTGGGGAGTGGGAAAAGGTTTTAGAAGTGCATGACTGGTTCTAGGTATGTGTAGGCTTAGAACACAGGGAAGTCTGAAACAATACCATTCCCCAATGGGTAAAAGAAAACGGTCTGTGATATCTAGCTGTACTCACTCTCCTCTCCTGCCCAGTTCCTGTAGTGAGATGCTAAATGCTAAGGGTGCCAAACCTCCTGCAGGAACCCCCACAAGAGTCAAGGTTCTCCCCCCAATAGTTCCCTGTCTTGTTCTTTACTGCATGACACAGTATGAGAGCTAGAATCCCTACAGGACAGAGTAGAACTGTCCCTGTGGGTTTCCAACACTGCAACGCTTACCAAAGTAGAAAGCCCAGCCTGTGCACAAAAATGGCTCCGTTCCCTGGAGGAAGCCAAGAACACAGCTAACAAAGAAAGGATGGCTCTGGAGGACCAGGGGCTCACCTCCTCAGCTAGAGCAGCTCTACCTTCAGGTCAGGAGATTCTGAAAAGCCAATGCCTCACGGTGCCAACTCTGAGAAGCACTTATGGAAGGTGACACCAGGCACTTAACGCTTGAAAAACTGACGATGTGTAGAGGAAGGAACAAGTACTGAATAAGGATTTAGTGCCTCTTGGGGGTTAATCATTTTCTGCCACTTTACTAAAGGAAATAGTCTGGAGCACACAGTTGTTCCCTTAAAAAAAAAAAAATCATACTCAGCCTCACTCCCTTATACTAAATATTACTCAGTTCTCTGGGGTACTCACCATGTCTGCTCCGGCTTCTGGAAGTGAAGTCACTTTGCTCTGAGGACTGAAGCCACTTCAGTAAAAGGGCGGCAGGCAGTTTTTGAAGCAAATGAAAATGTCTGGTGCACACAGGTGAACTCCTTACTTGGGATCACATGGATTAAACAATATGGTTGTCCTTGGTCCGTAGGCCTTCACTGGATGAATTCTTCCTGTGCTGCACCTGTTAAAGATGGTGGGGAGGAGATAATGTTGAGTAAGGAGAGTGTAACAAGACCTTGACCTTCAATTCTTACAGTGGGCAGGGTTTTCTTTCAGGACCACGGGTGATGCTCTATCCGGAGGGCGCTGGTATTTCAGGCAAAACAGGCTCAATCCTTCCAAAGCAAACACTTGCTCTTAGTACAATTATATGGATGTAGTGAGTTAGGTGTTGGGCTATTAACTGCAAGGTCAGCAATTTGGATCCAACAACTGTTTCTTGCAAAAAAGAGAGGAGGTGTGGGTTCACGTGTTTTACAGCCTCAAAAACCCACAAAGGCAGTTCTACTTTGTCCTATAACTGACGCCATGGCAACTAGTTTAGAGTCTTCCTCCTGGTAACATCAGAGAGAGAGGCCTTTACCTTGCCCACTGTAAAGAATGGAGCCCTGGTGGCCACATGTTCAGCTGCTAATTGACATGATCAGCAGTTCAAACCCACGGGAGAACTGAGTTTGACAGCCTCTGAAACCCTGTCCTAGTTGCTATAAGTCAGATCTGACTCACTGAAGTGGGTAGCGTGCATTTATTGCACAAAAGCTGCTCAGTATAAGGCTGGAAAACTTGAGCGTGATTTCCTCCAAGAGGCAGGAGTCTAAGGTTGAGGTTGTGTTATCTAGGTAATTTTGCCCCTTGTAGATCAACAAACACATGGTTATTTACTATCAACAGAAGTGCATTTTCAGGATGAACAAATGTTCATTTGGTCAATGCACTCACCATGCTCCACTGATCTATCCTTATGGTATGGAGACACTTCTCATTTATTTGAGAGAAACGAAGAACAAACTCACCACCATCGAGTCCATGCTGACTCACAGCAACCCTATAAGACAGGATAGAACTGACCCTGTGAGATTCTGAGACTGTTTAACGGTTTACTGGAGTAGAAAGCCCTGCCTTGCTCCAGAGGTGCAGCTGGCAGTTTTGAACTGTGGGCCTTGAGGTTCACAGCCCAAATGGTCACCACTCCACCACCAGGTCTTCTTAGGGGGGAAAAGAGACCCGAAATTCAAATGTAATTTATAGAGACACATTTATTCTTAAACAGGACAAAGACACATCATCCAGATGAGGGAGACCATCAGCAGGAGGTCATCATTGTGTCCTATTATTTACAAAAACAAGGCCAATCAAACAGGACACAGAGTCCAGGAGAAACTGTCATAAGAATATAACTGGCAGCGGATCAACACATTAGAGCTTCAGGCAGGCTCACACAACCTTCCTCTCAGCCTCCCACCTACTGTCCCCCAACCTGATTTTTGGTATTTCTGCTTTAGTCATCTCTCCCTTTGGTCAAGGTGTAGACGATGGGGTCTCTACTGCCTCAGGGAGATACACATTCATTTTTTTCACACCAAAATACACTTCCACCCTCACTCATCCCACATGCTACCAGCCCTGTACAACCATGGATGTGGATAAATCCAACACATTTTGTGTATCTTCACTGAACACAAATATCCCTTTGAATTAGGCTTTCAGGTTAGCTCCGCTTACTAAGGGAAGCAGATGCCCTTGACTTCTCCGAATGTGTTGAAAAGTAGCTCTCCTGCTGGAGAGTGAACCGATGAGCGGGAGCTCCGTATCTGGGTGGTGGTGTTCCTTCTGTCTGCTGACGCTGACAAAACACCAACAGGGTTTATCACCATGGTGTATGCTCTTAAGCAGTCTTATCCAGTAGAACGTTCTTTGGAGATAGACCAATTCTGGTTCTGTACAATCCAATGCAGCCACCAGCCCTATAAACACGCGACTCGGTGCAATTAAAGAACTTACATTTTTCTTTTGGCTTTAATGCCTTTTCTTGGAAATAGCCACAAGTGCCTACTGAACACCACAGCCCTGGTGGCCTCACCAGACCCTAAGCAACCAACACAGCACAGAGGCAGTGAAAGCCGCCGTCACCACAACGCAGATCTTTCACAGCTTTTTATTTGCTGGACGCCTGCCACACTGCGAGGCAGAGCTGATCAAAGCAAAGGCAACATTCAATTTGATTTGGTTGTATTTACATGATGCAGAAGTAATATAACAAAAATACAGCATCCACTCACAGATTTACACTTTAGCGTGACAGATCCATTTACATACATAATGAGAAGCCAGAGACATCTGATACCATAATAGAAGGACCAATAGGTAACATCATGATACGGGAGAAAAGATTGCAGTTGTCAAAGAGTTCAGCTGTCAAGGGAGGAAACAATGCCCTGCATCGGGTGAATCTGCTGCACAAGACATCTTCCAAGTATTGAAAAGCAAAGATGTGAGTTTGAGGATGACTGTGCCCACCCAAACCACATTGTTCTTCACCTCCTATACATGTGAAAGTCGGACACTGGACATGGAAGAATGAGAAGAATCGATGCATTTGAATTATGGTGCTGCCTAAGAATATTGAAAGTACCATGGACTGCCAAAAGAAGAAACAGATCTGTCTTTGAAGAAGTATAGCCAGATTGCTCCTTAGAATAAGGTGACCAGATTTAAAGTGGGACACCATTGACGGAGGTGGGGTGTAGGGGTGGTTCTTGATTAAAAATTTGGTCAATATGGACCAAATAGACGATTCCCTAGCTTGTCATGCATTCTTTCCAAAAATTGGAACTTTTTTAAAATGCCCAAAATCAGGGCTGTCCAGCCCAAAGCGGGACGTCTGGTCACCTTACCTTAGAAGCAAGAATGGTGAGTCATGTACTTTGGGCATATTATCAGGAAAGACCAGTCCCTGGAGAAGGATATCAAGCTCGGTAAAGAAGAGTGGCAACAACAACAACAAAAGGAAAGGCCGACATGATGGATGGACACAGCAACTACAACAATTATGAGGGTGGCCCTGAACAGGGCGGAGTTTCATGTGCGTAGGGTGGTCGAGAGTCGGAACAGATTCAACAGCACCTGACATCATCAAGACGAAGACAACAAGGCTAAGGTCAACCTAAATTGAATTTACCATGTCCTGAAGCCTACAGTGAAACTTAAAAAGGAGTGGGAGTCACTGAGGGGACAGAAGAGGCACCCTCTAAAGAGGTGATATGAAACTAAAGGAGAAAAACCTAAAACCCAAGCAAGTTTCCTTTTAACAAAATGTGCCCAGAGCTCACCTAGTCTGAGGCTGAGGGTTAATAGTTAAGCCAGAGAGCTACAGGCAGGCAGTCCTGTTTCCAAGTCTGCCTTTAAGTCAAATTCACATGTAAGTCAGGACAATTGGGTTCAAGTGGTATCTAACATCAGTTTCTCAAATGTTTGTCTTGGTATATAGCATATCTTTCCAAGCCTAGCACTCTCTGATACACTAAAACACCTTTAACATAATACAGTAATAATAGTTTTGATCAGGTCACAAAGTAGAACCCATTTATTATTAAGAACTATTTTATGTACCTTCTCCCTGGTTGAAGCGATAATTACAGAGCAAACTTCACTCGAAATATTCAGAAGATTCTCTTCTATAAAAGACTATTTAGATACTTTATTTAGACTCTACACTAAAAGGATCACAGCACAGGGTTATGAACCCTCTTCAGGAAAGGCAGTGGGGAAAAGCATCCATTGCCTGCCATTCCTGTCACAGAGACCCTATAAGACACAGAACTGCCCCACTGGGCGCCTGGTGGCCTGGTGGGTTGAACTGGGTTGCCAACTGCTAGGTCAGCGGGTTCCAACCTACCAGTTATTCTGCCAGAGAAAGATGAGTCTTTCTGCCCCCAAAACGATTTATAGCCTTGGAAACCCACAAGGACAACAGGGTATGAGTAGGAAATGACTAGATTACAGTGAGTTTTGTTTCATCTCTACCTAAGCAAACAGCCCAGTTTTTCTCCTCAGGAACACGTGGTGCGTCCCAGCGACCAGCTCTTCAGAAAGCAGACAAGAGCTGAACCATTGCGCCAGCAGGGCCATTAAAAAGAACAGGGCCATCAAGTCAACTCTGACTCATGGCGACCTTAGGGTTTCTGAGGATGTTAATGTTTAC